TCCCAGGTTCGATCCTCAGCACCACATACCAACAAAGATGTTGTGTCCGCCGAGAACTAAAAAATAAATATTAAAATTCTCATTCTCTCTCTCTTTCTCTCTCTCTCTCTCTTAAAAAAATAAATAAATAAAAATAAGGATTTCTTTTTTTAATATCAATAACTTGTACTAACCAAAGTCTAAAGCTGGGCCTGGTGGAACACACCTATGATCCCCGTGACCTGGGAGGCTGACACAGGAGGATTGCAAGTTCAAGGCCAGCTTGGAAAATTTTGTGAGACCATGTCTCAAAAAAAAAAAAAAATTATAAGGGCTGGGGTTGTGGCTCAGCGGTACAGCACCCCTCGATTTAATCCCCAGAATCCAAAAAAAAAAAAAAAATCTGAAAGTGAGAAAGTAGGCAAGAGAGAAAGTGGTCTGTTTGGCTAGAAGGAGATGGGGACCACAGGGGAGGTCGCCACCATGACACAAAGGAATTGGAAATTGTAAACCTTTTGACAACGGGAAGCCACTGAACTGTTGCTGCGATTATTATTTTTTAAAAATTTTTTTATAAAAAACATTTATAACTTTATTTTATTTATGTTTGTATGTGGTGCTGAGGATCAAACCCAGCGCCTCACTTAAGCTAGGCAAGCGCTCTACCACTGAGCCACAGTCCCGCCCAGTTGTTATTTTTTGAGTAGTGTTTAACATGCCATTTCCCTCTAATTAGAACAAATAAATAAATAAATAAAAACAAAATAAAATGTCAGTCCCAGCCTTAAAACACACACACCCCCACACCCACACCCACACCCCATTCCCTCTCCACTCCCCCTGGGGATTGAACCCAGGGTGCTCACCCACTAAGCCACATCCCCAGCTCTTTATTTTTTTATGTTGAGACAGTCTTTATAACTTGCCCAGGCCGGCCATGAACCTGCACTCCTCCTGCCTCAGCCTCCCCGGTTTCTGGGATTCCAAGCAGCCACCACCACAACGGGCTCGGCTTTGCACTGCAGTCGCCAATGACTATGTTTCATCCCTATTGCCAGGTTCTAAATTCCTTGAGGGCCGACATCATATTCTGTCTTCGTATCTGTCACAGTGACGACCACAGTGCTTGACACATTCTCAAAAAATGAATTAATCAGGTTGATGGTCTAGCTCGGTGGTAAGTGGGTACTTAGCATCTAGGGGCCCTCTCGGTGTTCAACCCCTGGCACCAGAAGAACGATATGGTAAATGTTCCAGGAAATGAACAAGTGACTCATTGGATGGGGAAGAGGCAGCAGAAGGGTCAAGGATAAGCAGGCGAAACAAGGATGGAGTTTGTTGTTGTTGTTGAGGTTCTAGGGATTGAATTCAGGGGCGTTCTTCCATAAGCAACATCTCCAGCCCTTTCTTTTCTTTTCTTTTTTTAAAGAGAGAGAGAGAGAGAGAGAGAGAGAGAGAGAGAGAGAGAGAATATTAATATTTATTTTTTAGTTCTCGGCGGACACAACATCCTTGTTTGTATGTGGTGCTGAGGATAGAACCCCGGCCGCACGCATGCCAGGCGAGCGCTTGAGCCACATCCCCAGCCCTAGGATACATAAAAAAAAAAAAAAAAAACATTTATTTTTTAGGTGTAGATGGACACAACACAATGCCTTTATTTTTATGTGGTGCTGAGGATCGAACCCATGCTAGGCGAGCCTCTACTGCTGAGCCACAATCCCAGCCCCTAGGATACATTTTTAACACTAGAAACCAGCTGGGTGCAGCGGTACATGCCTGTAATCCTAGAGACTCAGGAGGCTGAGGCAGGAGGATCACAAGTTTGAAGCCAGCCTCAGCAACATAGCAAGGCTCTGATAAACTTAGTGAGACCTTATCTAAAAATACAATATAAAAAAATGGGCTGGAGGCTGGGCATGGTGATGCACACCTGTAATCCCAGTGGCTTGGGAGGCTGAGACAGAAGGATTCAAAGGTCAAAACCAGACTCAGCAACAGGGAGGTGCTAAGCAATTCAGTGAGACCCCTGTCTCTAAATATAATATAAAACTAGGGCTGGGGATGCAGCTCAGTGGTTGAGTGCCCCTGAGTTCAATCCCCAGTAACCCAAAACAAAACAAAAACAAAACTAGAAACTATTAGAAGACAACATTAAATCTTTGTGCTTTTATAAAACGTTAATCCAAGTCAAGGAGCCCTCCTAGAGGGAATGAACATAGAACAAGGTCCTGAAGGATAAATTGGATTTGGAGAGGGAAAGAGGGACAGTAAAGCATTTCAGGCAAGCCACACACAAAGGTGTGAAGTCAGAACAGACTGGAAGTTGTGCGTAGAGAAGTCATTACTATTTCTTGGCAAACCTCCTGTGTGCTGAGGCATGACACCAAGCAATGGAAGATGGACAATAAGATCTGGGAGATGGGGAATGGGAAGACATATACTCAAACAAATGCAGGCCATGTGCATTATTCCACAACAACGTAAGCTCTCGGAAAGTAGAACCCTTATCTGTCCTGTACATCACTGTATTCTCCACTACCTAGAGCAACGCCAGGCACAAAGTAGGTGATTAATAAATGCATATTGAATGCAGTAATACTACAAATGGAGACACAGAGTAATATTAATACTGACAGTTACCATTTATTGAGCACATTCGTCTATCTGCCAGGCACTGTACTAAGAGTTTTTTGTTTGTTTTTAGAGACAGGGTCTCACCATGTTGCCAGGTTGGCCTCAAATTCCTGGGCTCAAGTGATCTTTCCACCTCAGGCCCGCAAGTAGCTAGGATGACTCTGCACCCAAGCCAGTTTTATATCTGAGATCTTATATGATCCTCTGACCTTTTGAAAGTACTGTAATTCTCTCATTTCACCAAGGTGTTATGTAAGTAACATTTGCTTCAAGATTACTTTACCCAGTAAGTGACAGAATTGGGACTTGAATTCATGGCTGCCTAACTTCACAGTCCCATTTCCGGAACTTGAGGGTCTACTGTTCAAAAATGTGGTTTGGAGAAGTTTGCTGTGAACTCATTCAAAAGCATAAGACCTAAGATAGGAGGACTACTTAAATAAAATCAGCGTAGAGTAGTGAGCATGAATTAAAGTAGTTATAGTGGGAATGGAGGGGGAAAAAGAACTATTTTTTGAACTTCAAAGGGCTTCTAAATAAAGCTCAGGGCTTGGTGACTTGCTGGATGTAGCATGATGACTAAGTTCCTCACCTGGGAATAGGAAGTAGTAGGAGCTTTTCTGTAATTCCTAGTTTGACAAATCTCTAGTTTTGCTATTTTCTAAAAGCCCCTAATCAGGTGCTGATCACATACAGTAGTAAAAACTAGCTTGAAAAGCCACACTCAGGAAGGCAGAATAAAAGCCTGAGGCCAACTGAGGTGATGCACGCCTGTAATCTCATCCACTCGGGAGGCTGAGGCAGGAGGATCACAAATTTGAAGTCAGTATGGGAAAGTTTGCAAGACCCTGTCTTATAATACAAAATGGGAAGGACTGAAGATGTAGCTCAGTGATAAAGCTCTCCTGAGTTCAATCCCAAATACCGCAAGAAATAAGTAAATCTGAAAAAAGAAGAGCGTGGAGAACGCACGGAGCAGCGCTCCTGCAGCGCTGAGATCCTAGAGCCAGGCTGGCGCTACAAAAGGAGAGGCGTGGCTTGCCCAGGAACTACAATTCCCACAAGGCACTGGGTTTCCGGTCAGAGCTTATTTCCGGTCTTTTGGGTGCTGACGTTCTCTTCCGGTCGTGGTGGCGCCCGGGCCTTTGGGATGCTCACGGTGAGTCCACAGGCTTAGGGAGTTGGAGCGGGAGGGGTGATAGCCCCGGGTCCGCACAGCCCTCGGCAGCCGGGGGTTCGCGCGGGCAGGCCGCACCGGCGGGAGGACGGGTAACCTTGGCGGAGGGAGTGGGGGCCGACCGGAGGAAGGAGGGGGCAGATCAAACCGAACCCCCAGGGACCCGGGGAAGGATGTGGGGACAAGGACAGCGGGATCCTGGGGATGGACTGGTGGGGAGGGGTACGAGACTTAAGGAGGATCCCTACCGGAGCTGTGGGGGAGGAACATTGCTGCGGGAAGGCTGCCGCCTGCGGGTCCCCGGGTGAGGGAAAGCGAGAGGCTGCTGCAGACCTGAGGTGGCCACAGGACACCGCAGGAAAACCCTGTTCTGCCCCGTGCTAAGGGCACCCGCCAGCTGATGAGCACCTGGGCGCAGGAAGGGTGCCGTTTTCCGGAGCTAATGAGTCTGGACAGTGGTCAGCGCTGGTAGCCTGCGCAGGGCTTTCTGGAGTGGGCAGCTGCTTGGATAGGGGATCAAGAGAGTTTTGATGGACTTATAAGGGAAGGCTGTCAGGAGGATTTTGGTCACATACTACTGGGTTGACTACTTACTTTGCTTTTTTTCTCCAAAGATGAGGCTGCTGGCGTTTGTGGCTCTGTTAGCTGTCACTCAAGCAGAGGAAGGAGCCAGACTTCTGGCCTCCAAGTCCCTGCTGAACCGATATGCGGTGGAGGGGCGAGACCTGACTTTACAGTACAACATCTACAATGTTGGCTCAAGGTAAGGGGGCGTCGGGATATCCGACTGGCCCCTTTTCTGGATTCTTAGTTCTCAGATGAGCATAAGGAACATCTTGGAGAGTAGTGATTTCTCTTGGGATTTGTTATCTAGTAACATTAGATATTACTGGGCCTACTCTTGGAAGTAGAGGACATTTTTACCTACACTGCAAAACACCATATTCCAGTTTTTAGGTTGGAAGAGTTTCAGAGTAGAGAAGACACAAGAATTGTGAAACCAGAGGGGAAGATGAAGACATAAAAATGTACAGGCCTTTGCTACCTCAAAGGTTTAAGTTTCAGCTTCCTTCTTTCACTATTCATGAGCATTTTTATTGCCGTTCTTTCATTTTATTCCCTTTAATTTTTTTCCCCCATATTTGTCCTCTCTTCCAACCCCTCCCACACATACAAAGAAATTGAGACAAGAATGAATTTGGGCCCATTCCCTTCTAGATGCTCAGATATTTTGGTATTTCTGAGTGGTAGAATCTAGTCTTCAACATAAATCCTTCAGTGCCACAGACTCAAATTATTATGTGAATCTCTTTTGAGTTCTGACATTTTAACATAAATTTGATTGTTGATTGAGTAGTTTAATGTTATTAACCTTACCTACCCTTTTTGTTTCCTCTGTTTTCAGTGCTGCATTAGATGTGGAATTATCTGATGATTCCTTCCCTCCAGAAGACTTTGGCATTGTCTCCGGTATGCTCAATGTCAAATGGGACCGGATTGCCCCGTATCCTCTTGGCTCTGGGTGTTAGAGACTGGGGAAGGAGGCCACTGCCTGCAAAGTAGCATGGGTACTTGAAGTAGACTGGGAACATGAGGCAGGAAAGACTAGTGTAAATTGTGTGAGCATGATTTCAAGAAGACCTGAGGGGGGGTTCTTGAAGTTTGGTTGTAAGGCCCTGAAACATACTATATTAGAAAGTTATAGACACAAAGATGTCTGTGGCCAGGCATGGATGTTTAAGACGGTCACCCCTAGCCCCAAGATGTTTTTTAAAAGAAATTCAGTGAATCTGGGCATGGTGGCACACAGCTACAATCCCAGCTACTCAGGAAGATCACAAATTCAGGGTCAGCCTGGGCAACTTAGTAAGATCCTATGTAAACAAAAAATTTAAAAGGCTAGGAATGTAGCTCAGTTGTATAGTGTCTTGGGTTAAATCCCCAGTGCAGAAAGAAGGATAGAGGAAGGGAAGGAGGGAAGAAATTAAATGGGATACTAGCATGGAGAACCTGGGTGACCATTTTGAAGTCTCTAATTCAAGGAGTTTCTTTTTCTGATCTACCAGTTATTTCCTAAGTATCGGATTAGGTACTTGATGTTTTTGTTTCTCTCACTCTCCCCACTCCCCTTCTCCTCCTCTCCTCCTCTCCCCCTCTCCCCCTCTCCTCCCTCCCTCTCTCCTTAGTGGTCTTGAGGATTGAACCCAGGGCTTGGTGCATGCTAGGCAAACACTCTTTGCTGAGCTACATCCTCAGCCCTATTTTCTCTTGTGAATTAAAGAATATTTAGATTTTTCTCAGGAGGGTAAATGTACTCTTTGTATTTTTTCTCATTTTCTGTTTTTTGTATTTTCAAAAACTTTGTTCACATACAGTCGATGAAAGAGATCTGTGAGCTTAAGTGAGTATGATTTTTCATCTATAATATATTTGCAAGTTTACTTCAAAAACCTTTATATATCATGAGCCCCTTAATTTAGCAAAGACATCATAATACACCACATGCTCGATTTTTTTTTTTAAAGCGGTTTTTTGATTCCTATGGTGTATTGCAGATATGAATTCACATGTTGGCAACTATTTTAGGAATAGTGCGCTTAGGCTACAAGCTGAAAGGTTCTTACCACCTTAGCTTCATTTTCTCTTCCTTAACTCTTGGACCAGTGCTAGCAACGTCTCCCACACCGTGGTCCTGCGTCCTCTCAAGGCTGGTTACTTCAACTTCACCTCAGCCACAATTACTTACCTGGCCCAAGAGGACGGTCCTGTTGTGGTGAGTTGCCCAAGTCCTGGGCTGGATGGGGCTTGGATCTGTCTGCCCTTAAGAATTCCTAGAGAATTTCCACCGTAGCCTCTAGGTTGTGAAAGAGATAAGACTGACCAAAAACTCGCTGTTGTCCTAAGAAGTGTGATTCAATTTGTAGAGATATAGAACAGTCACTGAGAAAGATGGAAAAAGAGCTTCATAACATTCCCTTCCTCTTCATTCCTTCTGCATTCCTTTTACTCTGGAATGTGTCATTTGCTATCCAGTTTTTTGCTGTCCTTGCCTTTCTGGTCATTTTTTGTTTTTGTTTTGTTTGTGGTGCTGAGAACCCAGGGCATGCTGGGTAATTTTCATTATCTTCTAGGCCACTGTCAGATGATTGACAGGCTCCACTGTTCCCATCTTGCCCTTGCTTAGAATGTCCTGCCAATTGCTTTGAAGCTAAGATCTCCTGCCTGTCATCGCACACCCTCCAATAGTCTTGTCCTGTCTCTCCAGCCTTCTTTCCCACTCCACCCACACAGATCCCAATCCTCACTAGTTCAAGCTCCTTCCTGCACTCCCTCTCCTCTCAGTGCTTATTCTTTCCTTTGTCCTTATTCTTTGCCTTTGTTTTGTTTGAAGTACTCTGTATCCTACATTTCATTAGCAGAAGTCTTCTCAAGACCCAATTTTGAGCTGTATCTCCTTGTTACTGTCTTCTGCCAAATGTGGCGGCACATGCCTGTAATCCCAGAAATTTGGGAGGCTGAGGCGGGAGGATTGCAAGTTCTAAGTCAACCTCAGCAATTTAGCCAGGCCCTCAGCAACTTAGCAAGACCCCTGAAAAAATAAAAAGGGCTGCGAATGTGGCTCAGTGGTAGCATGCCCCTGGGTTTAATTCTTGATTACCTTACCCCTGCCAAAGTTTTAGTTGCTTACTGTCTTCATTAGTTTTGTTTCTTATATGTAGGTCTTCCCTTCTTTTCATCTCCCAATTTAATTATAAACTCCTGGGGCACAGGAACTCAGTCTTTTGATTGATTCATTAAAGATCAATAGACATTTCTTGAGCCCTTACGACATGCTAGACTCTGGGAAATACCAAGAAAACTAGGACACCATCCCAGTCCCAAAAATCTTAGATCATAAATTTGTAAATATATGAAGGTAAAACATGGTCCTGTCCAGGGAACTAAAAGAAATCTAAAATTCTGTAACAGTCAGTGCACTTTCAAATCGTTCATTTTTTCATAAACCACATGGACCCTGTTCTTGTAATCTTAGCTGTTTTCACATCTTGTATCATTTCTGTTTTCAGAACCAACTTCAGGACTCTGGTTCTACCCAATACTTGATGGGTTAATAGGTAAAAAAATCTAAGACTCAGCTGCCGTCTTAGAACAAAGTTGTTTGCAATGCGCTTCAAACTCTTGGCCTCCTCTTCACAGCAAAGGAATGTGGGCCAATCCCAGCCCTCCACTTGTAATGTCCACTTGGAGAGGGCTTTATAATTTTCATAATTCTTCTCATTATTTCATTTGAGCCTCGTGTGAGCCCTGTGAGGTATAGAAGAGGAGTTTTGTTTGAGGAGTAAGTAAATGATTGCTGAAGGCGAGTCGTTCCACTGCACATCTGGCCTTGCAGAGGGGCCAGTGGTGGTGAGCAGTTTCACTCTCCAGAGTCTGAAGCTGTGACAGAAGGATCGAGCTTTCATTCCAGGTGTATACCTGGCCCCCCCTTTTAATAAATGCATAGCCGGTGGTGTTTTTCAGGTCTCCTGGCTCCTAATTTACTATTCTTTCCAACACCCAGTACACTTAGGAGAATCATCCGACTCTTCCTGGTTCAAATACTTGTCCTTCTTTTTTTTTTTGCATTGAACCAGGGCCCCACACATGCAAGGCAAGGGCTCGGCCACTGAGCCACATTTCCTTGTGAGAAGGCCTTCCTCATCTTCTTGGAGCACTCTTTGGGATACTTTGGGAACTGAAAAGTCTGATGTGGGGACTGCTTCCTTCCTTAGATGAGACGACTGGAGATTGCCTTAATGTCTTTCTTTTCTCTTCAGGTTGGCTCCACCAGTGCACCTGGGCAGGGAGGAATCCTGGCTCAGCGGGAGTTTGACAGAAGATTCTCCCCTCATTTTGTAAGCTTTCTAATATTTTCTCATTCTCCTGGGGTGAGAACACTCTTGGTTCTGGAACCTCTTGGCCTCCTTAAAAGACTTCATTGGTCGGCCTACCTGTCTGGTTTTTTGCTGTTGTGTTTGGTTTTGTTGTTTTTTTTTTTTTAAAAGAGAGAGTGAGAGAGGAGAGAGAGAGAGAGAGAATTTTTTTTTTAATATTTATTTTTTAGTTCTCGGCAGACACATCTTTGTTGGTATGTGATGCTGAGGATCGAACCCGGGCCGCACGCATGCCAGACGAGCGCGCTACCGCTTGAGCCACATCCCCAGCCCTTGGTTTTGTTTTGTTGGTATCTGATACAGACAGTTATCAAATATCCTGATTTAACCATTGATTTTCATCAATGAGATTGCTATTGCCAGAACCATGGAACTGGCCTTTTTCTCTACTCAACTTTGAGCAGAGCCTGGTCTACATGGAGGATCTTTTTTTGTGGGGGGAAGGTACCAGGGATTGAACTCAGCGGCACTTGACCACTGAGCCCTATTTTGTATTTTATTGAGAGACAGGGTCTCACTGAGTGGCTTAGCACCTCGCCATTGCTGAGGCTGGCTGTGAACTCCCTCCTACCTCAGCCTCTCAAGCTGCTGGGATACGGGTGTATGCCTCTGAGCCCGGCTCATTTCTGGAGGTCTAAGAGAGTATCTGACTAGGTTTAAAGAGTCATAGTGTGCTGGTCATGGTGGCCACACCTGTCATCGGGAGGCTGAGGCAGAAGATCACAGTTTGAGGCCAGCCTCAGCAACTTAGCAAGCCCTGTTTCAAAAATAAATAAAGAGCTGGGGGTATAGCTCAGAGGTGGAGCACCCCTGGGTTCCATCCCCAGTGCCAAAAAAAATAAAGGGTCATAGAACATGGAGAAAGTCAAGCAGGAACTTGGTGTTTGATCTAGGAGAGAATATTTTGAAGATGTGGCTAAAATACTGAATGAAGGAATTCCTTCATTCAGTGAGTGATTGTAAAGTTCCTAATCAAGTGCTTGCTGAGCTTTGCTTTGGGAAGGCATGGCCATCAAGGCGTAGTCCCTCCAGGTAAGAGATTGTTACAGGCTCATATAGGCCCCAGCAGGTAGGTGGCGAAGACACCTTGAGACGCTTATGCAGGGCGCCGGGGGAGCACACCGCAGCATCCAGCCTGTTTTCAGGAGCCACAGGGACTCATCCAAGGAGGAGGCTAGGGAGGGCAGGGGTTCTAAACAGAAGGGGTGATCAGATGTCAGACTAGAGGGTGTGACAGGGAATGGTGAGCTGTCTGTCAAAGCTAAAGGGCAGAAGTGAGGTGAGGGGATGGAGGAGGGGGATAAGGGGGTCAGGGAGGTCAGAGGAAGCCTGACTGCTAGGGGCAAGACCTGGGCACCTCTGTTCTCAAACACTGTCTGGAAGCAGTCTGGAGGCCTTTGGTTTCACAGCTTGAAGATTGGTCTCCAGAAAGCCTTTCTGTGTCAGGAGTGGTCAGAGGAACTTTGTGGCTAAAGTTCTGCTTAGAATCTGGGCCACACGCTCCCTTCTCTTGTTGGGCCTACTCCTTCCCTGGGCTCCCCTGAGCGCTTATCGGCTTCTAAGCAAGGCCTTGGTTTTCCTCCACAGCTGGACTGGGCAGCCTTTGGGGTTATGACCCTTCCGTCCATTGGCATCCCCCTGCTCTTGTGGTACTCCAGCAAAAGGAAATACGACACCCCCAAAACCAAGAAGAACTGAGTGGGGCTTCCATGGCCCTCCTCTCCCAAGAAAACAGGTGCTTTCCAGACTCCAGCGGGATCTTAGATGCAATCTCTTCCCCCTTACCCTTGGCCACCTTCTCCTGGACCCTGCCCTGCTCTCAACCAGAATGAAGGACCCAGCCTGGGAGTCTGAGAGCCTCGGTGGTTCCTCTGTGAAGCCATACAGACAGGACGGCCTTCAGCCCCAGCGTGCGCCTAGAGGCTGTCTGGGGCCCCACCGAGGTGCTGTTGGTATTTGGCTGCAACGTGAACTCTCCGGTCCAGGAGAGGCCTTTCAGAGATGTCTGACACCACCCTGTCCCCTTCCTCCTCTTTCAGAAGAGGGTGAGAGATGAAATGAAAGCTGTGGGACTCTCAGAGGCTATCCAGTCTCTTCTGGGTTAGGGAAGCGCTTACCAAATGGGGTTTTTTAATAAAAACAAATGCCACACACTGACTCGCCTGTTTTCCCGCCAGCCTGGTGAGCAAAGGTTGCTGCGGGAGCTTGGGCCCTGGGTGCCCCGCTCCTGGGCAAGCAAGCTAAGTTCTGGTCTCCTTGCCACAGGGTTGTGGTCTCTGCCCCCTGTGAGTCCTCCTTCCCTCTGAGTGTTCCTGTCAGTCACCACCTACTGTCCTGACCCTTCCTTGCCTGTTAGCTCTCCACTGCTGGGGAAGATGGAGGAACAGCTGTTTTCACGCCCTGGAGTCCTGATCTGTATCTATTTAGCATTCATTTATTTTTGGCACCAGGGACTGAACTCAGGAGCACTTTACCGCTGAGCTACATCACCAGCCCTTTTTATTTTTTCAGTTGTTGATGGACCTTTATTTATTTTTAAAATTTATTTATATGCAGTGCTGAGATAAACCCAGTGCATCACATATGAGGCAAGCACTTGCCACTGAGCCACAACCCCAACCCTGTTTTTTTATTTTGAAAGTGTCTCTAAGTCATGGGGGCTGGCCTTGAACTTGAGATCCTCCTGCCTCAGTCTTCTGAGTTGTTGAGATTATAGGCGTGCATGACCACCCACAACCAGTTTGTTGATCATTTTTAAAAAGCTCTCTCTTGTGCCTGTTTCTAGCCCATTCTCATATTTAAGAACTAGCTTTTTTTTTTTTTTTTTGGTACTGGGGATTGAACTCACAGGCACTTTACCACTGAGCCATATCCCGAGTCCTTTTCTTTCTTTTTCTTTTTTTTGAGACGGGGTCTTGCTAAGTTACTTACGGCCTCACTAAATTGCTGAACTTTGAACTTGCAATCCTCCTGTCTCAGCCTCCTGTGTTGCTGGGAATCACAGGCATATGCCACTGTACCTGGCCAAGAACTAGCTTTTCTTGAGTTTAAATTTATTTTAATGCCTCTGTGCTTTGAACTCAGGCCGGGAAGAAGGGCTGGGTCTCCTGACTTGGGCCCTCAGCATGGCTTATGGAAAGGCAGTAGCTTTGGCTGCAACAGCAGCGAGGAGAAGCCACTGTAAGCTGACTCTGTCCAACCCAGGAATGTCGTGGTCCGCAACAGCCTCCCAGGCAGGAGGGAAGCCCAACAAACACCCGCTTTGTTCCTGCCACCAAGTTTCCCCGTTTAGATTCTGCTCCCCCTGGCTCCCCTGCCCAACTGGTTTAACCTTTCCTTTGCCCAGAACTGGGAGCCTCTGGGCCCCTGGAAGATGAAAAGGACATGGAGACAACGGGACTCTCCAAATGGAGTAGCTCTGGGCCAGCTCACATCCCTCTTTCAGGGGCTGCGGCTTGGACACCCCAGGACCGGCCAGGTCAGAGGGCAAGAAGGCTGCGTTTGCTTTTGTTCATTGTGTTCCTGGTGGAAACCCGGAATGCTCAGAAGATTCGGGTAAAAGGGGCAATGGGTCAGGCTCAGGATGAAAACAGGTGTGGGGAAGGGCAGGTGAGCTGCGTTGCTGTATGTTGGCTTGCTCTCTAGGACTCTGAAATGTCTGTTTCTTCCACTTGCGCTCTCCCCTGGAAACCTGTGGTTCAGCCTACGAGCTAACCTATAGGAGGAGGGGTCCTGTGTTAGGGGGTAGATGGATGAACTTCATAATGCTCCAAGGGAATAAGAGATTCTGATCTTGGAGGTACTCCTTTTTCAAAAGCTGGGGAGACTTGTCTATCTTACCTTGTGTCCTGGCAATGTTACAGGGAAGACTAGACGGGAATCCAGGAACCCACAGATGACAAAAGAAGCATTGTGAAGACAGTGCAAGTCACAGGCACCTTGAAAAGCAGCCAAAATCAGATACTTCATCTCTTTGAGAGTTCCTTGGAGTCAGGATGGAATTTGAACCTCTCTTAAGTAGTGATGTTGGGGAATGTAGGAGTTTCTCCAATCTATGGAYGGAGACTTAGCTGGAATAGTTGGCTTTAGGATTGAGCGTTCTTGACTTCTCAAGGTAATCATCTGATGGGAGGACAAGTGGCGGGCTGCACTCCTGTTCACTAATCAAAAAACACTCTAGGGTTGTGCCACTGTGGCACGTGCCTGTCCTGACGTCCCAGCAACTCAGGAGGCTGAGGCCGGAGTACTGAAAGTTGGAGGACAACCTTGGCAACTTAATGAGACCACAAAATAAAAAATCAAATGGGCCGAGGAGGTAGCTCAGTAGGAAAGCACTCCTGGGTTCAATCTTTAGTACCAAGAAGGAAAAAACAAAACAGCAAGCCACTCCAGGAAGGTGGTGTGAACTCTGATCCTGAGATTGCACACAGATTTGTGAGGGAGAGGGAAAAGTGCACAGTGATCCCACATCCTTCCTAGAGAATGGGTACTCACACTGAGGCTCCTCCCTCAAAGGCAATACAGATAGTAACGAAGGCTGCCAGCACGTTCCAGGTCCCCTCCACCCTCCGCAGACCAGCCCTTTAGCCCTCCCACATCGTCCACACTTTGAACCGGCATGTAYTCGCCCACACACCCAGCCCCGTACCAGGAGGAGCAAGTGCTTTGATTTCCGCCCCCCTCCAGTACTAGGCCTTCAGACTGCACCTGGAGAGAGTGGATGGGAAACGTGTCCCAGAATGAATTTCTACCCACCTGGGAGTAGAGGAGTAATTCAGTGAAAGGATGGAAAGTGGTTCAGGGTTGACCCCTTCAGAGAGCAGCCGGGGGAGGCAGCAATGACCACAGGTCAGGAGCACTGGATCCCTGCTCCTCACCAACCATCCACTGGCTGTTGTGACCGCAGGTAATCACCACCCGCCTCTCAGAGCCTCTTTCCTCATCTGGACAATCACCGGGTTGTTTAATGAGAGGGTTTCTGAAGACCCTTCACCAAGAAGATAGCATAGGCCTTTCTCCTATTTATTTATTGATTGATACTGGGGTTGAACCTAGGGACACTTACCACTGAGCCACATCTCCAGCCCTCTTCATTTTATATTTTGAGTCAGGGTCTCACTAAGTTGCTTAGGACCTTGGTAAATTGCAGAGGCTGGCCTCTAACTTGTCCTCTTGCCTCAGCCTCTTGAGTGTGAGATTAGTCATGTACCACTGTTCCCTGCTCCTGTGTTCTTATGTAGTAAGAAACAAACACTGTCTGGGCGGGTTGGTAGCTCAGTGGTAGAGCACTTACCTAGCCTGTGTGGAGTCCCGGGTCAATGTCCAGCTTCACAGACAAACAGAAAACACAGTAAAGCCCGGCATGGTGGTGCATGCCTATAATCCCAGCTGCTTGGAAGGCTGAGGCAGGAGGATCGTGAGTTCAAAGCCAGACTCAGCAAAAAAGGGAGGCGCTAAGCAATTTAGTGAGAACCTGTCTCTAAATAAGATACAAAATAGGGCTGGGGATGTGGCTCAGGGGTTGAGTGCCCCTGAATTCAATCCCAGGTACCAAAAAACAACAATAACAACACCACAGTAACTCTGTCATGATGTGGTTGGGCCAGGCCAGGAAGATACAAGTTGTACATCTGTCATTTCCCTCTTACCTAGAACAAGAATTTTAGAGCAAGGATGAACCCTAGATCACCCAACTTCATCCTGTCATTTAGTAGATGAGGAAAGACAGAGTAAAGTGGCTTATCCCAGGTCACCAGCAAGTGACAGCTGGCATATTTGAGTTGTACAGGTCCAGCATTTGTGTTCCACCATTTCTCATTTAACAATCTCGTTTACAGATGAGGGGATGAGCTGATAGGTGACTCTTCAAAGTCCCCATAATGAGTTGGCAGAGCCAGCTGACATCTCCCAACTCCAACAAGCCCTTTCCATTAGACCTGGGGCCCATCACTACCTCTCAAAGTCCCATGTCTGCCCAGGCCCTCCTGTGCTCTGGGGCAAGACGTGAGGGGTGAGTCAGCCACCCACCCCCGCTGCTATCAGGGAAAGGGGTGGAGAGCTGATCAAATATCCTGCTGCCTGGTATCCACAACAAGCCCTGCGGTGATCGCTTGTATGCTGAGTTGCTTGGTCACCCCTGTTCCTGTTGGCCCTCCTCAGAGGTGGCTGCCCTTGCAATCGCTCCTCCCTGCACTTTCATTTAAAAAAAAAAAAAAAATTTCCTCCTTCACTTCTATAACCTGCCTCTTAAAGGGACCAACAAGCACTTTTGAAGCCAATTTTTTTGCTTGTGTGTTTGCGGGGGAACACAGGGGTGCTCTACCTGTGCTCTATCCCCAGCCTTTTTCCTTTTTATTTTGAGACAGGATCTCATTAAGTTGCCCAGACTGATCTTGAACTTGGGATCCCCCTGCCCAGGCCGCCCGTCCCAGTAGCTAAGATTGCAGGTGTGGCCGGTGGGCCCAGCTCTTTTTCGGAAATATGCCCTCTCCCCCTCCCCAGCTTCTCCCTGTCCCTTTTGAAAGGAGGGTGGGAGTTCCCTGAGATGTCAGGCTCCCACATCCTCTCCCCTTCTGGTGACCTCAGCTTGGTTTCCTGCACCTGTTTCCATGGGAGTCTGATTCCTGGGGCCGCCCTTTTTCAGGGAACGCTGGGGACAGGCCATCGAAGGGGTTAAAGTCCTGGGTCCAGCACTGTGTAGGGTGTTTGGAGTAGGGCGGGGAAGGGAAGGGCTAGGGGAGGTGAGGAGGCAGCTGGTCTGGACTGGAAGGAGTCCCCCTGTCTCCGGTGCAACCTTCTGGACCATGAACAGTTCCCTTAGCAGAAACAAGACCCAGGCGCCCCCATGAAGGCCCCGGACTGAAAGCAGGACTTTCCTATATTGAAGTCACCAACTGAGGGCAGGAACAGGTGCCCCGTCTTTGGGATAGCTCCCAGTCCTGGTGAGTTTCCTTCTTCCCTTTCCTGTGTTCTTCCATGATGAATGGGCATTCTCCCGGAAGCAGAGATGTCCAGGAATCCCTTAGTATCCCGGGGAGTGGAGAACAATCGCTCCTCCAACCAACCTCCTGCATTCAGCTCTCATTTTTCATTAGGGGGTAGTGTGTGTGTGTGTGTGTGTGTGTGTGTGTGTGTGTGTGTGTGTGTA